TAACATCTGAGAACTACACTCAGCATTTAATATGGATCGACTTGAGCCAAGTCCTGGACCAAATTGAAAAATAATGATTGTCCTAAGCAAAGAGAAATTCATTTCAAAACACAAATTACCTTCTCCCGATATACCGATACCATTTCCTGAGGTACATAGAGTTTTCCCTCATCTCCTAAAACTGGATCACAAACTGTCAAGGAAAGTTCATTAACAATACATGGCAAAAAAGCAGGCAATGTCCAGTTTATAAGATATTATGAGGCTGAACTATATATGAACAAGGGAAGAACTCCAAAAGGAAAGAAAAATGATTCAGATAAATCACTTGCTCGAGAACATCCTGAATAAATGTGCAAGGTCATATAAATGGAGCAATTGAATATTAATTCTTTTTGGTTTCGTCTCATTGGATAATATTTTTGGGCGGAACTATGATTGGATACATTTATTTTTTTAAATAATTATTCATCTAATCCAAACTTTGTTCTCCTCAATATTATCAATACAATTAAATAATTAAAAATAAATAATTACTACCCATTTTTCAATCAAATTCACTATTCATCAACTCGCATATTTTTAACTACCAATAATTTACATTCATTATTTTACTATTTTTCTATCACAACAACATTAATCATTACATTTTACCTCATATCCATTCACAATCTGAAAATTATTTCATTCTTCCACCGAAATAATTTTTTCCACTCTCTAACTCACTTTTTCCAATCAAATAAATTTTTAAAAATGACCTATATCCAATTGCACCATAGATCAAAATCCACTTCCAATAATTTATCAGGGTAAGATCAAACATCCTAAGTCCTAATTGGGATGGAGAAGCTTAGAAGAGTGGCAGTAAGTAAATTTAGACATGTACACATTTCTACAAAATAAATAAATAAATAAATAAATAAATATCTCATTCTTAGTTAAAACGCAGTAATCAGAATAACATTCTGAGCCCAATCAACCACATGAATGACAGAATTTTATCAGCTGGTGCCAGTGTTCTTACCATACGTAAGTTCTGGGTTGATAGACCTTAGCTTCTCTACAACTTTAAGAACAGTATTCAAAAACGAGACCGAACCAATATAACCTACAAGTTTCAAAGAAAAAAAAATGAAGCACAAACGCTATCAAAACATTTATGTATTTTAGTACCTAAAAATACCAAAAGCAAACTGAAGCTTCAAACACAAAACAGGAACATGGGTGTACCACCATTGTGAATCAAAATGTAAATATATCTATCCCACCATTATTACACTGTCAAGTTAAAAAAGTTACTGTTTTCATTGACAAATTGGTGAAGTTAAAAAACAAATATGCTTGGACTTTGAAGGATTACTAGGCTGATTGATACAAGTACAGAGAACTAATGCTCTACCTGTAAGTAGATGAGTATAGTACAATAAGTTATTTGCCCCAAGGCCCTCAATTAAATCCCAAAGTTGGTCTCCATTCAAAACTTGGCCTTTGAAAGTCGGATACCCTGCAAAAGTGATCTTGTTATTAGACCAAGAAATTCAAATCTTTCTCTCAGGCGGTATGCCTGAGATGAAGCAGGCATGATTAAGTGATATAAGCAGCTTGCCTGTGTGGTTTGAGAACTGTACAGAATTGATAGGGTCAACATCATAGCCAAGTAATTGTAGAGGAAACACGGCTGATTTGTTACCCACATATCCCTAAAGTAAAACCAAATTTAGTGACGGACCACGGTATAAAGCTCAATGTACAGCAGTTCTGGAGTTCTACCAGTAACAAAATGACAATATCATCAGAAAACAGAAATAAGTTAATGCAGTTTCAACCACAAAACCCAAAAAGATCAGCCTAATCAATTCACTAGAGCCAATTCAAATGTTAAGTCATTTCTATCAAAATGGAACATGAAAGCAACAAGCTTTACAAGTAACACAAACGGAATGCGTAATAGAAAAGGGCAGCAACAAAATGATCAGATAAAATCATCAAGATACATTTCTTAGTCACTAAAGTGACTCAACCATCATTTTTTCTATACTGCATTCAAAGAAAATGAAAACATCTAAAACAGAATACTGTAACACAAGTTGTATCAAATTGNAAAAAAAAAAAAAAAAAGGTGGGATGCAATAAAGCACCTGAAAATGGAGAAGCTTTGAATGAGTTCTAGTTGAAATCTGCGAGCAACGAACACAAACTTCAACATAAAACCATTGATTATAAGAATGATCTGTATGGCAGCGACGTGACGGAATTGAATAATTATTTCAAACGATCTCCGCAAGAATAAAATTATATAGAGTGAGGTTGACTGGGTGCTGATTTGGTAGACGCAAGGTAGGTAGGGGACTCGGTGATTCTTGAATATACATAGTAAACTCGTCTTTTTCACCGGTGTAAAATAAATTAAGGCTATCAAATAAATTAATGTATAACTTATTTCATGTATTCAAATAAACTAGTCGCCACCGGTACACGGGACAACATATTTAAATTGGAATCTTTAAAATTCAGAGGGTATTAAAATGAGAAAGAATTATCATACATATTACAACAATACACAACTCACCAACAACATGAGAAAATCATATTATATATTATTAGACACATTCTTGTGTACAACAATTTTTTGTTTTATTTGCTGGAGAGTCATCGTCACCACAAACTAATGTTTTCAAATCCTTTCGATCGGTGACACGAGATACAACAATGTATAACTAGTTTTTTCGAGGATGAATTGTTCATGTGGAATGGACTGATTTAGGATGAATTGATCGGTGACACTCAGCCCAGACCACAAACTTATCAAGGTGAACTGATTTTTCGAGGATAAGGGTACTTCTAGCTAGGTCTTGTTGTCAGTAGCTAGGTTTAGACTTATGTCTATTGTTTGTGTTATATTTTGGTTGATATTTGTGTAACTGAAGGTTTCAATTGGTACTTTATTGCCTTTAGTTATATAGCTTGGTCAATGTTATTTGTTTAGGCCACACACATGTGTGTGGTACTCTCATTTCATCACGACTTGTATCGAGGTTTTCTTATCCGGTTTATATTCGAACATTGTATTTTTGTCCGTTTATTGATGTTTACTATCTTTGGAAAAATAAATAAATTATAAGGGTATAATAATAATTAACTTTTAATAAATGGTCTCTCCTTTCCAAATTCCTCACTTTTAGAGGGGAGAAAAAATGGAAGAGGAATTCTTAATGAAAATCCCTCTCTCTCTCTCGTCTTCTTCCCTTAAAAACCAAAACCTACCCTTTCTTTCGGTGGCCCTAGTGCCTTAATTTCCCGTGAGCATCTGGCCCGCCCAAGGCCTGGCATCACGATGCTAGTGGGTTTTCGTCCTCTCTCAAGTGGTCCCGATCTTTAAGTTTCATTATGTCGGGTGAGATGACGTGGTCATCGCTCACGGCGGTGTTCGACAGATGCCACAGACGTCCTTGCAACGGTTGGGGTGGCGTCCGAGCCTTGGTTTTTCCTTTTTTCAGCCTTCCATGGTGTTGGGAAAGTTGGTTCCTCTGGTGGCGCTCGTGCGGTGGTGTGGCGGCTCTGGCGTATGCGTGGGGAGGCTGTGGAATGGACTGGTCTGGGCTGAGTCTGCGAAACACTAGGAGAGACTGATAAGTCTGTGGTCTGGATCTCGTTAGTCCATTAGGGGAGTTTTTTTATCCGTTGTGTTGGGTTGTGGATCTTGTGGCTTCTCCCGGTATATCGCGTTAGGTGTTGGCTCGGGTTGTGGTGGTGATGGGTTTTCCCGTCCGATGGGGAAGACTATAGTTTATTTAATGTATCAGTTGTTGTTTGTTGTGCGTTTGTTAGTGTTTTTTTCTCCTCTTTAGGAGTGTATATTCTCTATTAGTGGAGTTTTTAGTTTTTGTGTTTTGTAGTGTAATGTGGTTTAGGCTACCTTTGGTAGGTTTAATCTCTCGTAAATACGTATTTATTTATAAAGTCTATAGTTTTAAGAAAAAATAAAATGGGAGAAAGAGGGATTTTGTGTTTAAAATTTTATCTACCCTTTCTTCCCAAAAATCAAACCAAACAATGGCTTTTTAAAAACGTCCCTCCCTTCCCCTCACATTCCATCGAACCAAACAACCCGTGAGATGTAGATTTTTTCCTCCACCATGGTCTTTATCGCCCTCAGTCCCCAATTTCATCAACCAAATAAATAAACCCCCAATAATAATCTAAAATCCGCTTGAAAATCGGAAAATAAGTAATAATGAAGCGCAAGAAGTGGTCGGAGCTGGAGGAGCAGACCCTGCTGTCCAAATACTCCGACCTCCTCAATTCCGGCGCACTCGCGAAGCTCAGGACCCGGGAGAAGAAGTTCCGGCCAGTGGCCGATCACGTTAACTCCCTGCACCACCTCCGGGACCCGATCGCCTTTCCCTTCCGGTGGTCCTGGCGGGACGTGTCGATCAAGGTGCAGAACATGCGCCACCAGTACCTGGGCGTCAAGCAGAAGATCCGAATCTCCGGCAACGAGTTCAACTGGGGCGACGGCGAGATCCACTGGGAGAATTTCCTCAAGTACAAGCAAGTGTTTGGGGACATCGAGTTGTCTGACAACGGCGTCAGGGTTGATGCAAGTAACAACGCAAACAGCGGCCAGGTAATGAATAGCAACGATAAAAGTAGTAATAGCAAAACAATTGGGGATGAGGGTATTTATTCTGATATTTTCGGGTATGGTGATGAGGATATTGAGGAAACCGATGAGTATGGTGATGAAGGAGCCGATATAGGGGCAAGCGAGGAGGGGGAAAAGGGGGGGAAAGAGGGGAACGAAATTGAGGATGAAAAAATGAAACTGGGGCTTAAAGGTAAGAAATTGAGGATGGTGGTCACTAAGGTTTTGGAACTGAGGGAAGCGATTCTGAGAAGAGAGGATAAGCGTAGGGAAAGGGAATGGGACCAAGAAGAAGTGGCCCACAAGAGGGAAATGGAACTGGAGAGAGAGCTCGAGAAGGAAAAGAGGTTGAGGATGAGTTTTCAGGAGAAATGGGAGGAAAGGGAAATGGAGTGGAGAGAGAGACTATTTGAGGTGCAAATGCAGCATGAGAAGCAGATGATGCAAATGCACGCAGATTCATGCCAAAGCCAGCTGCAGATTCTTGGGATTGTGTCTCGGCTAGTTTGCCAGCTTTTTGGGTCGGCCACTGATGGATTGGGGGGTGGGATTGGGCCGTTGGCCCAATCAGGCTTGCAGAATTTGGAGCATCCAGCTGGGCTGGGTGATGGTGGGAAGCCCGATGCCACCTCGCCCTCGGAGTTTTTGTAAATGTGGATTGGAGCTGGAAAGATTGGAAGTTGAGACTGAGTAAGTTTGTTCGGGTCTATATTTGTTGTTCATTTTGTATATCGACATCGATTGTGTATAGTGGTGTTGTGGAACTTGTGTGCACTTATATAGTTGATATTATTATTTGTTTCTAAATTGGAATTTTTGTTTGTTGAAGTTTGTAGGTCTTCGTGTGTGTGTGTTGTTCTGTGGTGTAGGATTTGAGTCGATGAGCGTTTAAGTGTAGTATTTGGTGGGTTTCGTTTTATTCTTGGTGGACTTGTATGAAAAGAGATTTAGCGAAATGCAAGGAGATGAATTGTTGTTAGTTTGAATGCGAAAAGCTAATTCTATTCAAGAAGTGTATTTTATCCTGGTGTTTGAGATATGCCTAAAACCACTCTTCAGAAGTGTCCATCATGTCTATATGCCTTGATAAGATTTCAAAAACCTTGTGGGATTTTGTTGCAGAAGATTGACTGGTCTAAAGTAATCTGGCAACTATGACTTAGAATGCTAGAAATTGATCTTTTTTTCAGAGTAGCCTTTAGGAGTATTCTGTTCGCTATAAGTCTATCTTCTACTAATGAATGTATAGAACTGTTTGTTTTACTAGTAGAGTTTATGTGGCTTATGTGCTTCCTGATGTAGAAATAGAGGAGCTTGACCGACAGATTCCGATTCTCTAGCTAAATGTCGGGATCAAAAGTGCAATTAGGATGATCTTTGTTCTTGTTAATATGTGCAAAGATTCACTACTTGGATTTTCCTATTTTTATAGATACAAGTTTGTATTTTTCTCTTTGATCGTCCTTTTTCCCTTTTATATTTTGAAAGCATATGCTATACAAAGTAAATGTGTACAGCTTTCAGTTTCCCCTTTATTGAGTATGGTTTATCTGTTTGCTTCTTTTCCATTTCCTTTTTTTTTCCTCTTTCCTGTCTGAAGTTAGCCGATTTTCATGGGATAATGGTGTTAGTAGGTGTGAATATTGCTAATTTACAAAGGCAGGTAAAATCTCCTCAGTATGACAATTGGATGACCAACCATTCCATGAAACTGAAACCTGAGCAACTCTCACAGAATAGAAGTAAATATGCCATGGAGAAGTTGAACCATTTTCTTCTTCCGCATTATGCGCACATTAATAGTTTGTTACCCAGGACAAGGATGCATGAACTAACACTAAAAACACACCTCGTACAAAAGCAGAACATGTGTAATGTACTGTTAATTCAGGAGGGTTACAGCTTAGTACAATGCCAGTAACCTTGATGTTTCTTTTTCTTCACCTTTGTTTTTCTCAGAGTATTTTTTGATATACCGGCTTAGTATCTTTTATTGCCTGAGATGCAAATACTGGTCAATTTGATTCCTAAATCCTAATCAAATTTCTTAATGTTACTTGCATGTAGGGGTGCACGAAATTTGGTTAACCGGCCGAAACTGAAATCGAATTTTGGGTTTGGTTTTCGGTTTGTATTTTTTTTAAAACCCTACTTGAACTAAAGTCTGGATCTTCCTCCCGATTTCGGTTTTCGATTCGGTTTGGATATAAATATTCGGTTAACCGAACCGAACGGAACCGAAAAATGATATTACACATTTATGTTATAAAACCCATATATTACCCAAGCCCATGTTTTTAGTTATGAGGCCCATCCCCCCTTATATACTAATTCGGAACTAGCTGAGCCTATGTGGTAGGCTCGCATGCTTCGGGATCCTATGTGGTAAAATTACATGCTTCGTTGATAAATTTAATTTACTTCTAATCCAAAAAAATTTAGGTTCAGATTATCTTTAAATATGTTGATTATTTATGGTAGGGGTGGGCGCAGTCCGGGACGGTCCTGGATTTGACTTGTTCAGATACCGATCCCACTTTTATGAATCAGTCAATGAACAGTCCGGGATGAGGCACCGTCCCCACCTTTGTAATACATGGGTGTTGTACTAGTTATATATTAAAGAGAAAAAATAAACCCACATGCATGAAACATGCCCAACCCAATCCCATTGCTATTTGATGCTCATCATCTGCTCGTCAATTCATCATCTCATTCTCATCTATGGACTGCCATCTCCCGTCTTTCTTCAGAGTTCATATTCCAGACCAAAGAATTCCTTAAATCCCAAGTCCTAAACGGAAATTCGAAAACAAGCACTCCAAGTCTCCGCCGCACGCAATCATGCACTCCATGTCTCCGATCGTCACGCTTGCCGCTCGTTTCTCTTTTTCATCTATTACTTTTTGATTATTTTATTTTATTTTATTTTATTTTTTCTGTTAATTATGGTTGCGATTGTGGAAATTAAGGCTATGATTTGATGAAATTAGGGCTACGATTTGCTGAAACTTAAACTAATGATTTTTTATTTTATTTTTTCATTTTTCTATTTTATCGGATAGCTCATAACCGAACTGATCCAACCGATGAATTTTAGGTTAAAAACCGAACCGAAAGTTAACCGAAATTTCGGTTTTCGGTTTGAAGGTTGGGTTAACGAAATTTCGGTTAACCGAAATTTGTTCGGTTTGGTTCGATTTCGACCGATTGAACAACCCTACTTGCATGTATGTAAGTCCCAACCACCATTCCCAGAATCATGTGTTTAGGTTTTGCGTACGAACGGAGAAGCTATTACATTACTATTATGTCTACATTTCATACTTAAAACCTCTATGCGGTAAATGTTTTATTAAATTATAAGTTGGTCAAGAAAATATTAATCTTCAATTTGTGATTTCTACCCTCCTTCCTTGGTATGTACGATCGATATCACAAAAAAAGAAAGCAGTAGAAATATTGTTGCAAAGAAACGAAGACTAAATTTCATTTTTTAGTACAGTACTATGTTTGTCATTTTTCGAAAAAATCTATAAAGGCTTCATAAAAAATAGTCCACTAAGTTACACATTAATCAAAATTCGTATAATAGCCAACATAGTGTACTAAAAGTGACAACTAAAAACGATCACTTTATATTATGTTGGTTATAGTAAAATTTTGATTAAAGTAGGAACTTAGTTGACCATTTTTTACGACGTCCTATATGATTGACCATTTACGAAAAATGGTGGACCATTTTTTTAAATTTTGCCAAAGAACAACCATCAATAGTTATAGATAAAATGAGAACAACAGATAGTGAAATAAATAAATATAATTCGTGGATGTGATTAAAGTAACATTTTAGATCTAGTCAACTAATTACACTTTTCGTAGCGCCGGCCTCTGGAGCTTCTTTTGGGTGGCCCGGAGGTGTTGGGCGGAGGTGTTCGGCTGGCTAACTTGGGCCATGGACTGTGTTCTTGAGTTTGGGCCCGGTTGTTCGGTTGGCTTGGGTGGTTTGTGGTGTGTTCAAGTGCGGGTTTTGGCTATCCGTCGGGGCTAACCAACAAGTTTGTAATGTCCACGAATTTTTTATTAATAGAAGTTTTTCACGAACACAACGCAGAGTCCATTAAATTTGAACACATTTTTGGGGGAGAAGGTCAAACTTGGATATAAAACGCTGGTATGCCATTGGCTAACCAAGTATACATGAAACTAAAATCCAAACACCCCATAATATATTTAAATTTTGCGTTAAATGAAGCACGATCACCGTCACCCATTAGTGAAATCATTTTGTCACCGTATGTAACACGATGCTAATTAGTCAATGCTCTCTCTATTACACATTCATATGATACTATTAATCTTCTGATTTTCAAGCATTATATTACATCTACAGCTTTAGAAATCTATCCTATTTTATACGTATATTTCCATTCACAATATATAAATATTTTGTATTCTAGCTTATAAACTTCCTAATTATTGTGTAGTATACAAAAAATAATTATAGCTTAATAGAATAGATTGTACATTTTAATGTGACCGGACATCTTTTACACTCCAATATATACATGCACTTTCTCTTACACAGTCTCATTTTTTTTTTCTTTTTTCACACTACAACTTGCGAAATTATACGTGATATAAAAAATAGAATATCAAAATGAATCACATAATTAACAATTATGCAAGATTTTTGTCGTACATATAACAATGAATATCCAAATCGGAAACACAGTTAATAATTATGCGAAATATTTTCGCATATTTTGTATTCGCATATCCAAATCCATCTTATTATTTTTGATATGCGAAATTATTTACATATATCGTTTTTATATATCCAAATTGATCTCTGTATATTTATGATTATGCAACATGTTTTAGCATATTTTACGACTCGCATCTCCAAATGGACACATAGTAAACCAGTATGAGAAACACTTCGCATATTACGTAATCGCATATCGAAATCCATGGCATTTTACCAAATGCGAGAAAGTTTTGGATATTAAGTTATCGCATATCCAAATTGATCATCGCATATTTATAATTAAGCGACATGTTTTCGCATAGTTACGACTCCCATATCCAAATCGGATGCATAGTTAACAAGTATGCATAACACTTTCGCATATTATGTAATCACATATCCAAATTCACCGCATATATTTACCATATGTGAGTTTACAACTCGCATAAGTTTACATTTTCGGATATTCAGTTATCGTAAATGGTAAGTTTACACTTTCGGATATTCAGCTATTTACCATATGCGAGTTTATAACTTGCATAAGTTGAAGCTTATTTCCGATCACAACCAAAACCAAATNAAAAAAAAAAAAAAGAAAATAAAAGAAAGAAAGAAAACTAGGCATGTTTACGAAAAAAATTGATAGGATTTTATGCAATAAACAGATTGCGATCCGCTTCCATGGCATGGAGTGGATCGAGGGTTAGGAAAATGCTTGCTATCAGTGTTTTTTAAGAAGTGTCATGAGAAGGCAGAAATACACCGTGGGCTGGTATCTTTTACACCCAAGAGGTAGGCCAAATCTTTTGACAAGCTACTTAAAAGATGAAACAACTACATCATTATGGAGGCAGCTGAAGCAGAATTTTTGCGGAACGACATAACAAAAGCAAAGAAGACA